CGTGCAATTCACAAACTATTTGTTTTGCATGTTTTAAAATATCCATGCCAACTGCAACCATGCTAACTAATTAGACGAACTGAAAGATCGGCTTTAATATACGTAACATCTTTTTATAATACCTGCGTCAACCGTAATTGAAAAAAATGTTCGTCTCCTAACGCTCAAGAAGATTATTTAACGCACAAAATTACATTCTTAATCAATGTATATTGCTACTCATTTTTGCAGTAGCCGGTCTTGCAATGAAGTCCGTGAGTCATTATCAGGCTCCTATCAATCGCCCCGAAGTTTTGCTGATTCGCACGAGTCAAACTGTTTGCGTTCTCTATGCGGTTTCTAGTTTAATGTCTCCACATAATAATCAAGGGAATAATTATGGAAATTATTAGGTACATGACCTGCAAGTAAGTGACCGAGACATTGCTTTTTAGAGCTCAAACCTGGATTCGATGAAAACTTGAGTGGAGAACAATCGACTACCATGGAATGCCCATTCTAGAACAATTAGCACTACCAGTAGCGTAAATTCTATATGATAACGATGCTATACCGTACTTTCACCATAGCTGCTGGCTAAAAGCCGAGATATCTGTTTCGCCGATGCTTTCCTTGCTGCATGATACCACGAGTACATACTGAGAAGCTGAACCCTTCTGTGTGGCCAATATAAAAACAAAGACAACTGGCGCACGGTGTACGGTAAAAATGTTGACTAACATTACCGTCCAGAATTCGCGTAACATATCAACATACGCGAAAGATTAATACTCTCTCGATAATTAGCATTGAGAAAGGCTGTAATACTGAATATCGTGTAGTCTATTCTGGAGTTATTTCAGTCACGATAGGATGCCGGCTTTTAACGAGCTTCCGTCTGGCCGCGGAAAAAAAACGCACGAACTGTGAAAAGTGGCTACTTAAGAAGTATGCTCTTTTATAATTGAAGTTGACTGCCTTTATAAATTAGAATATATTTTATGGAAAACATAAACGAATAAATTATTTCTTGTACTCTTTTTATAGCAAATTACGCCTTATTAAACCTTTATACTTAAAGGAAAGGTAAAATGCGCTTCTTAAAGCTAGTCATCGTCCACTGGCGCCTTACCTAGTCCTTGTAGCCAATAACCAAATTATAAATCTGGGTAGTGAAATTCAGATCACATCGTCCTGTCCTCCCCTATTCCACTGAAAGTTCCGGCGAAAACTCCCCCCTACTACTTTTCTTCCGCGTTCTAGCCCTACAATGACATAAGGATATAGAGCTTAAAAGACTATCCCAATCACCTGGTTAGGTCTATTCAAATTACAAACAAGACTCGATACATCGTACACTTGCAGACTGGTGCTTTAAAAATATACCCACAAATATTGTATAAAAGCCACTTTTCATTGTTTTAAAAAAAATAAAATCAAACAAAGAACAAGATCCCATTTCTGAATGATTTCCGATAGAATCTAAAATTTAATCTAACAGTTCATGGAAATAATTGTTTTCTATTTCTAAGTAGTACAGCAGTCGCCACAGACCATGCAATTTTCATATCTTTGTGTAAGTTTGATCATTACTCGAATACCAATGTAAATGCATTTAGGAAGTTTAGAAATAATAATGAACTGCATCAGGCATATTAGGTACTTAAAAGAACTATAGGAACTACTAAGTGTTGGTAAAGAAAAATAAAATTTTCTCGATAATCCCGTGATTTTTTAAGTGTTTGTAAAGAAAAATAAAATTTTCTCGATAATCCCGTGATTTTGGATACGTAAAATAGACTATAAATTAGAACATTAAATTTAGACATTGTGTTAAATTGAAAACTTGAAGCAACCATTTTCTATATATAGAAATAACTTTTCTTTAGTCAAGACATTCTGTTAACTTGAATCTTATTGGATAAGTATTTATTGAATGTCATCAACAAACGTGTGTCATAATTTTCCTT